GGAAAGGCGAATCCAACCTGTTACGCTCTTTTTCCTGGTGCTGGATAATAAGGCAGCTGCAGCTGCTCCAGCCGGGCTGGACTGCCGGAGCTGTTGGGTGCCCGCAGGCAGCCCTGCCCGGCCCCGAGGGAGCTGTAGCCCCAGCCCCGGGGAACGAAGCCCGTGGTGGGGAGCAGCAGCACAGCTGCCTCCACGTGTGTGGCCGCAGGAGAGACGACTGCGAGGGGACCCAAGGGGGCCTGTCCCCTCCAGGGAGCAGCCAGACCCCCTTGCTGCACCGTGCACCAGGCGGGACGGCAAAAGGGTGGAAGAGGCACGGCACTCACACCGCTGGGGCAGCGCAGGAACTGCCAGCAGCCTAGGGCAGCCCCAGGGCCGTGTCAGTGTGCGGCAAAACCAGAAATCCAGGGAGGCAGAGATGCCTGGATGCTCCAGGCCCCTGGAGCCTGCAGTGCTCTGCCATGGCAGAGGAGCTTTCCTGAGACTGCCGTGAACTGCTGCTCCCCTTCCCCAGGCCTGCCCTGGCCCCCTTCCCGAGGGCAAAGCCGCTCTGGGCACTTCTCTCCCTCTGCCCCCTTGGCTCACGGCTTCCAGCCTGCACTTCCCCGGCCAGGCAGGACCCAGCCGCTGCGGGCAGAGCCGAGGCCGAGCGGTCACGCTGCCTCAGCGGAACAGCATCGAAACCAAACGTACGCTGCAGCGATGCTTTAGCTGAATCTTTATTCAATGCCAGAGTGAAGAGCAAAACTCAGTACAAACATCAGCCCTCCAGTGCCTCGCTCACTGCTAGTCCAAGCCAGGGGAGAGGGGGTTTCACAAACGTGAGGGGGAGGAGGGGAGCAGCTGCTCCTGTGCTGTGTGAGTGGACAGGGCTAGATGGGGCACACAGCAGGCTCCCTCCGTTCTGGAAGTCCTATGGTGACGGATGACCTGAGTACAGGGGGTTTGGATACAGTCCTGGGCACCTGCTGGGGCGCAGGGAGCTCTTAAAGCCATCAGTGCATGTCAGGACAGTCTCTGCTGCCTCAGTGACATCTGTCTGCAACCCAGGGCCCTGAGTGGCACAGACAACTGCCCCCAGCACACCCAGGGGAGTCCCACAGCACCTCCCCCAGCCCCTGCCCAGGACACGGGCTCCCTTCCCAGCTCCCAGGAGCGACTGCAGCTCCTGGGCTCACCGCCAGCCCCAGCCATTAGGCCAAGTCTTAGGAGCTTAATTTTAGACTCTGACGTTCAGGTACCGGCTGCAGGGAGGAAGGTGTCAGGGACACAGCGCGGACACAAGGCCATCGTCGCTTCAAGTGCCAGCTCCCCCTCCGAGGGGGCCCCGGGAGGAGCCGATCAGCAAACCCCTGGCCAGGCAGCCCAGGCGGAAGGAAGCTTATTCAACTGTCACGGCAGCAGCAAAGGGCTGTGTTCCCCCACACCCGCGGTGACCACCCGCAGCCATCCGTGGGCGCCCACACTCCTTTGGGGAGAGCATCCCAAGGGAACCCAAGTGCCACACCTGGAGTAGCATGGGAAGGAGGTGTCCATGGGCCCCAGCAGCTGCCCTCACAGCCGGCCCTCGGGAAAGGGCAGCAGACACCCCACAATAAATATGTTGCCAAAGCCGTAGCTTATTGAAGTGCTACTGAGCAGAGGAAGAGAGAGGCAACACCACGTTACCACCTGCCCTCCCCACTCTCAAGTCTGGAAACAGGCGACACCAACATGTAGTGGCTAACAGAAGGCAGGGGCAGGGCCCTGGCTGCCCCCCAGCCCTGCCCCCCCGCTGCCCTTCAGGGCCAAGATGCTGCCTGGGAGGAGACACTTGGCATTCCCAGCAGCCAGAGGAGCTGCCCGCGGAGGGCTGGGACAAACAAACATTAACAAGGGCTGTTAACGAAGAGTCCTGCAGTAAGGCAGCGCAGCACTGCACCGCAGCTTCTGCCAAGTGCTCTGCAGCCGGTAGCTCTTGGCAAGGTCGGCCACGTCCCAGGCTCACGCAGTACAAACGCTGGGGACGTGCCTCAGTCTGTTCTAGGCGACCAAAGCTCACTCAGAGAGCTGTGACCAAGTAGCAGCGTTCGTGAGAAGCTGTGGGGAGCCTGCAGTGACCAGCTCAGGGCCCAGGGATGGGCCCCTGCTCTACGTTCTGTCTCTGAAGCAGACGCTCCAAGGGGATGCAATCCCCGCTACCAGGGCCCCTCCAGACTCCGTGGATGGGATTCGTGTGCCCAGAGCCCGTCTCTGTTGTGCAGGGCCCAAAGCTCTGCAAGCTCCAGGCGGTGGCTGCAGTGAGGAAGCTGCAGGAGTAGGTGTACCTGGGTTCAGCTTTTCTGGTTCATGAGCCAGGAGAAGAGTAGTTTCCTGGGCCGGGGCTTCCTGGCCTGCTGGACACGCACAGCGCGAGGGGAGCGCCACACCTTGATGGTGGTGTCGTCGCTGGCTGTCAGGAGCAGCTCCTGCTCCACTGGGCTGAACGCCACCGAGTTCACCACGTTGTCGTGCTGCAGTTTGGCCAAGCAGATGTTATAGTGCCGGTCCCAGATGTAACCATGGCGATCCTCTGCCCCACTGTGGTGGACAAGACACCGGTAGGGACGTCACTCCAGCAGCCCTGATAATCTGCTGCTCCCAACCCTCCTCCTTCCATGCAGGTGGGGGCACGGAGGCTGCCTGGCCAGAGGTCTTGGCCTCCATCTCCAGCCCCGTCACCCATGAGCTTCAACCGGGCAGGCCACCTTCCCCTGGGAACCTGAGGCCATTTGACATGCCCCTTCAGCTCACCCCACAGCCCCTGCTGCCTGCAGCCCCCAAGAAGGGCATTTGCCACCTGCAGCCCAACATGCCACAGCCCAAACTTTCCCCTTTCCCCACTGGTTTCCCAGCAGGGCCAGGGCAGCTGTATCCGCACCCTGCAATTCAGTCCCTCTGCTCCTCACGAGCTCGTCTCCTGCTCTGCTCACAACAGGGGATTTTCCAGCACACGGACCAGCCCAGCTTGCACAAGCTGTGCAGCAGTGATGGCCCCAAGGCCCTCCTGGACTTGGGGTCAGGATCCTGCCCGCCCCCATCACCACACACCTCGCTACGAAGTCCCTGCTGACATCCAGGAAGATGAAGAAGCACTCCTCGTTGGGCGTGTAGGCCCGATGCGCGTGGAGGGCTCTTTTCACCTCCTTCATGGTCTTCAGGTCGAACACGTGCAGATCGATCTCCTCAGCGATGGGGGGCGGCTGCATCGGGTCAGAGATGATGCAGTCCCGAGGCCAGGCACGGCTGTTCACGTACAGGTACCTTGGGGAGGGGAGCAGAGGGGTTACCCTGCCCCGAAGCTCCCCGTACCCCAGCTGCAAACGCGCAGGCAGGGCAGGGACTGAGCAGTTTCCCTGGTCCCTAGCAAGCCTGCAGCTCTGCTCACCAAACTCCGGGCTGAAACACCAGCACACGGTGCGGAAGCGTTTCTTGCCCTGCTTGGAAAGGGCCACCGTGATTGGGAT